GCTGAATCCATATTTGGATAGTCCTCGAGATTAGCCCTACCTGTTAAACTCCTTATCATATCCTTGAGAATCATACCTAGGGAGTAGTGGGTGTAAACAAAAACCTCAGCCAGCTCATCTAGTTTCAAGAAAATCTTCTCATCATCAACTTATTTCTCAATTGATTAACCTGTTTTAAGAGTGCCATCTTTTTTTTCTCTATTTTTTTCTTTTCTATCGTAAACTATTGCTAGGCAATCTTGAAGGTTGTCAACACTGGCTTTGATGTCATGATAGGTAGTTATTCTGAAACATATTTTGGCAATGGCCTAACTTCATTGATTTTTTACTCTCTACGGAAGATATCTTTTGCCATATTGTTTGCATACCTAGTCGGATTCATTCGATTTATTTGTTTCCAGGCTTTAACGACTTCTCGAACTTCCTTCATATAATTGGGTACACCATAATCAAATTCGAATAGGTTGAGTCCATGAGTCATAGGAATAAACGGTCAGGAATTGTATTATCTCTAAACCATAAGAGGTGCATAGTTAACTGCTCTTCATATCTTTAGTAACAACACTCATGGTTTGTCTCTATAACTGTATAATATGACTGAAGAAAGCATCCGTGGTGCTCTTCACGTTATGACCTCGCTCGTGAGATTTAGAAAAAATGACATCCAATGCTTTGTTATCGAATATCTCCTTCATTCTTTAGTAATAAACTCCTTGATTAGAACAAAATGAGTAAAAAAAAGCTGAAATGACACTTTTTTTGCCTAAAAGTGACTCTAAATCCTATGAATTAGCCTTCACCTTTTTTTTCGATATATATATATATTGTAGTTGAACACATCCTATGAATTAACCTTCACTTTTTTTTTTCGATAATAATTTAATGATCTAATGGTTTTAGCTAGGGTAATAAGAGACGGATTTATGCCCTTGCCTAAAGAGACAAAATTTTTTATAATAATATGTAGTTGATTGATAGCTCACCCTTGAGATTCACATTTATGAGTATGTATGTTGTTTATATATATATAGTAGTGATATGATGAAGTTAACTATTACAACAACTATTGTAAAAAATTTTTATTTGTATTCTTCTATTCTTTTTTACCTTTGATACATTGTTTAAATAATGGTATGACTTTTTGATATTTTACATCAATTTTCTACATTTTATAATAAGCTCTAAAGGAGAGTTGTAAGATTATAACTCTACGAGTGTTATTATTTTTTGTGACATCTTTTTTTATTTATTTAGTATTATATTTTTTGTAAATATATTTTCCTTGATTATTCAAGTTAGAATTATTAGATTAATTTTAATTATGATTATTTAATTTTTTTCTATTTATTTCTGTTTTGGTTTAGTGTTCTTAAATATTTTACTCTGAAAATTAATTGATAATTGATAATTACTCTGAAAATGACATTGTTTTTTAATCAAAAGTTTAACTTTTTTTATAGACCTCTTTAAATGAGTTTTTGATTTGTTATTAACATTTGGTACTTATATGTTTCTATCTCTTTAATGAATTCGTTATTCAATTTGCCCAAAAAAAAAAATTAAAAGTCTACTATTCTCATTTTTTTATTTGATTATTAAGTATTCATTTTTTTATTTGATTATTAAGTATTTCATTTGTAACGAGTAAGGAAAGATGCTATTCTTCTCTAATTTTTATTTACAGTTTTATTTTTCATTTTTTGTATGTGATTCAATAAAAAGTTTAACCAATTTGATATTATTTAATTGAACTTATATTGGGTTTTCAATTCAAAGTTCATACATATATATTAAATCTTCGATTATTTCTTTTTCACACATATATAGTAAATCTTTGATTCTTTTTTTTCTCAAATATACATAACAAATCTTTGGTTCAGCATATGCTTCATCATATAATTATTTTTTTTTCCAAAAACATATCTTACAATGTCCTAAATTATTAAAATTTTGAGTTTTAATAGCAATATAAATTTTTTAATGATATGATTTTATGACTAATATATGTGTATTCAAATTTATAAAAAGACAAATAATTATTAAAAGGAATTATACACCTCTAATTGATTTAAAAAGTAGGTGAAATCACGTTGAAATCTTAAATTAATTAAGGCAAATTTGATCACTCTTATGGAAAATGTTTAATTTGATTTTTTTCATTTAATTTTTTAATTACAAGTAGTATCCATATGATAATGAGTTACTTTTAGATATAATTTGGATATATGCATTTGTAAATTTTATTAAGTGTTTAATTAAGTATTAAACCATATTATTTATTGAATGTTTGAATATTTTAAATGTATTATTTTCTTAAATATCATTTGGTTATATGCATATGTAAATTTTATATTTTCGTTAAAAATAATATTTTATGTTTAATTTTATAAAAATAACATTTGTATAGCCCATGCCACAAACTAGTTACATATTATTATTGAATTTAAATTTTAAATATATAATTTGACCTATAAAAAATAAGGTAATGTAAGTATAAAAAATTTACTAGAATTCAAAACAAAATTAAAGCTATTGAATGCAAGGCAAAATATGATTTTTAGTGTAAAAAAAATAGAAAGAAATATTCATATTTAAATTTAAAAAAAAAACTAAAATTAAAGCCATTGAACAGATAATGATATTTTTTGGACCATAATTGAAAAAATATTAAAGATTAAATTAGTTTGTAATTTTAATTTTGAAATTTGAATTGTTCATTATGATCAAAACACTTGATATCATTTGATACTATTCATATATAAAAAAATTACCCTACATACATAGATTTATTTCTTTTTTTTTTCAATTTAATATATTAAAGTTATCTTTTATGTGTGTGTCTATATATATATATATATATAATTGTTCTACAAATTAATATGTTTATATAATCATAGATAAAGATTAGTAAATATGCAAAATTATTTCTGATTAATTAGCTTTCTATTTAAATTTTGATTTTTTAAATTAATGATTAAATTAATTATAGCTAAATTATAGGAGGCAAGAATATTGGTATTTAAATATAATTAATTTAGCCATAATAAATTATTTTACAATTAATTATATAATCAAATTCATTAATTATATAACACATGACATTTACCTATGACATTCTACATGTCAAAAATGTAACTTATCTACATAGGATTATTTCTTTTTATGCTAAAGGATTTATATAAGATTACAATAACATAATAAAAAAAAACATGTAGTGTGAAAAAAAATTGATATTAAATTCAACAATATAATAATAGAAATGAGTAATTTGGGACGATTTATAAAACTTCCTATTACAACTTTTTATTATTTCTTTCATAAAACAAATTAAGTAATATAGTAATCAATGTCCTTAGTTGTATATTTTATATATTTTTATTTTATTTTATTTTTTTAATATTTTTTTGTGAATTAATGTCTTTTGACTTATGATAACAAACTCCATCAAAAAATTTTAAAAAAATTAAGACTATCTTTATTTGATATTAAAATTAAGGTATAAATGATATATTATTGTTCGTGTGTTATTTATATTCGATTTAAATAAAATTCGAATTCAGTTCTATTATTTTCAAATTAAGTTCAAATAATTTGATTTATCTAATAAGTCTAGTTCAAGTATTTTAATACTTGACTCAAATAATTTGTGAACTTAATCAAATATTTATATTTTAAAATATATTTTATTATTTAATAAAAATATTATTTTATCTTATATAACAATTCAAGTTTTAACTTGAGTTTGAATATAAATAATTAAGTTTGAAATCAAATATAATACTAAAATTTATTTTTTATTCGGTAAACAAACTAATCAAAGAAGTTTAAATAATTTTATCTTTATTTTAAATCAAATTTAAATTTAAAATTTAATTAAACTCAAAATTAATTTTAATAATAAATTTTTAAGTCAAACTTTAATTTAAACTAATTCAACTCGATTCAAATTATATCTTTGTTTTTTCCTTAATTGAAACAAAGTAATCTATTCTATTTAACGGGCCTAATGGGCGGCTCATGACCATGACCCGAGAAGGCTGGAGATGCCTTTTTTTTTTTTGGCCATCAGCTTTTCTATTGTTATTATCCTCTTTGTTGTTTTGTTGTCGTTCCACTGACAGTATTCTTCCACGTCACTTGTATGCTCGAGCCTCAGTATTTTCACTGCAGACTACAGCACCTGATCCTATCTCAGCCCGCATTCAAAAGCGCGGGAAAATTTGATCTGAAGAGGCGCCACAACAGGCCTAATCACCGATATTCCAACGGTAACATTTTCCCTCTTTCTTCAACTATCTTTGTCTTCCCATCCCTCTAGCAAAAATCTTATTAGGTGTCATCATTCTTCCAGGTTTTTCGTCAGATCTGATTCTTCTATCACCCAAAACCCTAGTCTCTGCCATTTTCCTTCCCGAACCCCCTATTCAAAGCCCTAGCCTCTACAGGTTTCTTCCCAAACCCCCAATTCAAAACCCTAACTCCCTTAGGAAAAAAATGGACATGGAAAGCTTATCAGGGATCTAAGCCAGTCTCGGCATTCTCGAAGAAGATCCTATAATGAAACAGATCGTTTACACGAAGGGCGAACACTGTCTTGGTAGTCATTTGCCGTTATTGAAGTGAATTTTTTGTTTGATGTATTTAATTTTTTTGAGCGACTGAAAAATGGATTTGACTAATCTTGTTTCAAATAACTTACTGACAGATGCTTTGAAGGATTTACTGAGGTTTTGAAGATGGGACGATCCACAAAAGCGAGAAGTATTTAAGCAAGTTTGCAGATGGAATATTTTTTTGAAAAAACTTGATTCCGATTATTGAACACTGGCAACATGATCGGAATTTGGTGTTAAATGCAGGCAGGTAAAGATTTGATGTTCGAGTTTTTGGGTCGATTTAAAAATAATTGTATTAAATGCTAAACTGGTGAGTGTTGACGTCCTTTTATATTTTCTTTTTCTTTTTTTTTTTTATTTTGCAGTGAAAGTTTTAGTTTTTCTTTCAATGCCTATCGAGCCTTCCTCAAGTGATACTCCTCAGCAGATAGAGTATCTTTGGAATATAAAGTTTTCTTTCACGAGCAGTGATGCTATTGCAGTTATAGTTTCCCTTCTTGAAAGCCCACTTGAAATTTTGGATTAGTAAGCAAAAAAATTTCTTCTTCTGTTTTACCAATGGACCCTTTAGCTGCTTACTTAAGTTAAGGTGCAGGAAAAAGGAAAAGAAATTAGATGTTGTTTGAAAGCCTGCCTAAAATGTTGGTCAATGAAAACGCATGAGTACTGTTTACGAAACCATCAGAAACAAAGTTGTAGCTAAGCTCGTTAGATGCTGTGAAGTAGGACGTTCATCTTTCATCTACATGTAAAGCATTCGTGCCATTAGATTCCCTCTTTTTTTGTTATTTTGATATCAGCATTAATGGTCAACCCTTCCAATTTCAGTGAATTATTCACGGAGTATGACTGGAAATTGGTCCAGCTGGTAGTCACCTTTTTTCATAACATTCTTCCCATCCAAGATATTTCATCCCTACAAAATGATGCCAATTTTTATCATTGAGACAGATTTCTTGAAATTTTGTTCCATGAGAATGTTATTCTTAATTATAGTTATAACTCAGCAGTTTGGTGGTTTCTTGGCTATCTTCATCGGGATAACTTACTTCTATTAGAAACTTTTCATTACATATTTATAGGTCAAGAACCAGAATTACTTTCCAAAGCACATTTGAAGGATTCTGAGGTTTGTTTCCCTTTATTCTCATCTAATTTTATCTGATTATTCAGTTGATTTATGCTATCCACATTTCCTCATGCTTACTTGTTTCTAATGAACTATGTGTGATAGGAGGGTGGAGATGCCAAGGCAAGCTTTGATGATCTCGGGTTCATCATGGAAGAGGAAGCCAACAAAAGAAGGGTTTCAAGAAAAAAAAACAGAATTGAATTAAGCTTTGCCGGTGTTGCAGGTTATGTTCCTTTGGATTGCTTCATTCTGGTTGGGTGGGTATTGGAAGATTTACCATTCCTGGCTTATACAGTGGTGGGTTTAGAAAGGAGTTCTTGACATAGAGGGCAGGCCTTTTATAGCTTGATGACAGATGCAACTGAAGGTCTTTCTGGGATGACAATCCTCCACCATTGTCTTTCAAATTTTCTTCCTCTTTCAATGACTGGTTCCCTCATGTTTCCACAGGTTAACTGGCTCTCACTGGTCAACCTTAACTTGTCACCCAGCCTTCCTTTTTTGACCGTCACTGTCTCAAGTGTTGAGCAATCCTTTGTGACAATACACCTAGTAGAAATGGCCTTTATGTTGAGGTTGTTTTGATTTGAACCTCAATCTTTGAGGAGACTATTTTTTGATGGGTTCTCACTCCATTCTTTGTCCAAATGTGTGCCTGTATGGTGTTCAATTTTGGTGAGTTTATTAGCTTTTGCCTTGGCCCTTTGTATATGCAGAGGATGCTAACACTTGTGTTCCTTGGGGTCGTGATTTCTGTTTTCTTTGTACAATCAAGGAACCTGTTGGTATCAATGCTTTTGTGTTCATAGATGATATGAAATACTGGTAATTTTGTTTTGCCCTGCCTTTTATTTTTCTGAATTATGTATTAGATGCCATTCTTTTTCCAACTATATTCAATAATTGTTTTTTTTTCTTTCTTAAGTGTGTCAACTGTATTTATCATGATAGATATTTTCCTGCTTGGCTGGAGAGGACTCAGGACTGCAATAACATAGTAGTAGTATATACTAAATATCTGCTGATACAGGCATTTAAGGTTTTTCTCTGTCATCTAAAACATAATTCGTCGTCAGAATATAAGGGATGTTCCTTTCATGTTATGATAGAATTTTGGGTTTTGTTAAAGTTAATTCCCTGTTTCAGCCTTATTAATTTGATTTCAGCACCTGTGCAAGTTGCTATGATCCACTTAAGCTATTGATAGATAATATAAAGAGAGTGAGTATACTGGGATCTATGTTAAATTTGTTCTTTTCGAGGCCTGTTATAGAACAAATAGTTAGATTCACTTTGCTTTTCTGCATCTAAATTTGCTAGGTCTTCGTGCCTGTGTGAATAATTCACTTGTACCAATCTTTTTACACTCGAAGTTTCCCTGCACTTTGTTATCCATGCATACGAAGTTGTTTTATGGTGTCTGTTCGCTACTTCTTACACAGACTGCTCTGGTTATCAAGGTTGTCATACCAATAACTTGTAGTACTATTCTATATATATATATTTTAATTTTTATATGTTAGGATGTTAGACGAATTGAATAAATGAGTTTTCCTCAAAGCTGTAATAATATTTTGTGCAATCAAAAACATTCTTCGGAACTTACTGCTTTATGAATGCTTAGATTCTTTATCTATTGCTTGTTTGTCGTCTTGAAGGAGGTTACAATGTAGGGACCAGTAGGTTTCAAGTCACTTTCAATTTTTGGCTTTAGGCCCAGAAACCTAGGTTAATGTCCCTTTCATTCTCCGACAATTCTGGGGACCCTTGTCTGCTATTTAATATATCACTGACATTTGTTGTGGTATGAAAAAGGTATTTTTCCTTTGAGTTGAGCCCCTAGTCACAGCAGCAGATAGCAGCAGCAGCGGACATAAAATTTTTTTGGTATCTATTTATAATATATATAAAATTATCAATGAATTCATTTAAAAGAAAATTTTCCTTTCATTTTTTTGTTTTTTAATCTTTCATGAACTTTAACTAATCATGTGGATCTACCTAGCATAAAGGTTAGGATGTAAACATCAGACTGGTGAAGTCTTCCTTCCAAACTGGCGGTACCCATTCCACAATTTGACAAGCAGATGATGAAACGAAACAAGCTAAGTGAAATCAACATTTTTGACCAGGACATAAGAATAAGTTGCTAGGTTTTTTTAAGGTAGAATTTTATAAACTATGAAGACATTAGTCATTCTTTTATTGCAGTTTAAGATAAATTATTCCTGTGCATGAACATGCTCCTCATAAACCCCGATTGATTTTTCATTGTTGTTGTTTCACCTTTTATAGCATCTAAATTTATGTCAAATGACAGAAAGTGCGGATTGTTATGTGCTTGCTTTAGTTTCTGAAATGCTGCTTGAGATAAAGATGAAATTTATACATGAACCAAATTTCTTTGTACTTTTAACTGATTCTGAATATGGATTAAACAAATTTCCAACGAGAGGTCACCTATTTTGCTGAGTTAAAAGGAAGTGTGGGGTTAAGGATTGATGCAACAGTACACTACGAGTGCTATTGGGTGGGCTCACATTTCTGTTTCTTTTCTCCTTTTCCCTTTTCAGTTATTAAAATTGTTAGGGGGAGGATATATTATAAATATGTTTTGAGTTATGTTACATGAGAAGCGGAACTCTGATATTGCCCACATTGTAGTTCCTTCCCCCTACAGTACAAAATTCAACCTCTCCTCTGTTTTCCCGCATCCCTTAATAAAGTGGAAGCCATGGAAACTCCCCAACCCCTCTCGATTGATAGCTTTTCATACAGTTGGTTAGTAAACCTGAATCCTTCTTTAGATAGTCTAGACAGCTCTCTCAGAGCCTCACTTGATGCATGTGATGAAGCTTCCTTCATTGAGATGGACCCAAGAATGCCACCCTCTAGGAGATTCTTCAGAAATCCTCAGGATTTTAAGTTTGACTTTCCCATTTCACAAGCTCCTCTTACCCTTGTTCATGCAGATGAGCTTTTTTCCAATGGTTATGTCATGCCTTTCTTTGTTAACTCTTTGAAGATGGAGGCATATGAAGTTTCTGATTCAACTTCAACCCTGCCTACTTCACATGCACCAAACCTTGTGGTTCCAGCTAGTAAAACAAATCGTCCTTCTTTGAGAAGATGTCGACGATTTTCCAAGAGGATGATTTTGAAATCCTTTGATTTTCTTCGGCCATTATACAGAAGAATACGAGGACATAAGTCAAGTAGCAGAGCTGAAAGTGTTGATGCAAGAGTTCAGGTAATGAAGAACTGGGTATATTCAGCACAAACATCTCCTCGAATAAGTGTTGCATACTCCGCTGATGAGTGGCGAAAGTCATGTGATTCCGAAAGCTCAATTTATGAGGCAGTTCTGCATTGCAAAAAATCAATCGGTATGCTAATCTTCTTTTGCTTATTATCGTATCATTTGAGCATCTGGAATCCAATTCTGCTGCTGATATTCTTCCCTATTTCATTCAGGAAAATGAATGGAGGATCCATTTGAAATCCATATGGGAGAAAGGAAAGAGGAGGTGTCTAGAATGTTATCTTGCCACTTGTTATTTGTCCTCTTCCTTCTCTTCTTTTGGGATGACAATGTACATTTGTCCTGTAAGGAAGTTAAAGCTATGTAAATGGTTGGCCATGGCCCTCAGGGAAAGAGGGGTGGGGGGCACGCACGCATCCCTTTAGTTGAAAAAATTACTAGTAAATTTGTATGAACAATGAAACTAGCATGTTTTTCTTTTTTTTTTTTGGTTTTAAGAGGGGGGCAGAACCTACGACAAGGGGGGGAGGGGAAGGCTTCTTGATCACTGAATCAAGAAATTGAAGACAACTAGCATGTTTTTTAGTATAGCAATCGGACTTTTTTTTTAATATCTTATTATGAGGAATTGAATAAAAAAATACTTTTATTAAACATATCACTGTCTCTCTCCACATGCCAAAAGCCAGTATATGTTTTGAACATGTAAGCACAAATTCTTTTTCACATGTTTTCTAAGTTTAGTTTCAATCACATTCAATTAGAAGGAAATTTTTCAATAAAAACAAAATTATTCCTAAGGAACTTAGATGTTATATGATAGAGTTAATACTCGTAATCTTTAAATTTTGATTCAAATTTTATTTTAATTCTTAAATTTTAAAAAATTTTAATTAGATCCTTAATTACCCAAAGTTATTTTATTTTAGTTTTTTGGTTTATGAAACTATTTAAATTAACAATAAATACTAATAGACATCATGTAATGACATCAATTAACATCTTAAGTTGTAGATGAGGGATCAAAATAAAAATCTCACAAAGTTTAAGGATTAAAGATGAAATTACATCAAAATTTTATATATTTTATAAAAAAATTATATATTTTTTATAAAATATTAAATTTAAAATTATATTTTTATATTTTTTATTGTAATATAATTTATTATTTATATTTTTTTAATTAAAAATAATTTTTAAAAATTAAAATTAAGTTAACAATTCAAAATCTTTTTTTAAAATTCAATATCATTTTAAAAACAAAAAATTATTTTTTATTAAAAATATTATTTCACTCATAAATTATAATAAAAATATTATTTTCTATCCATAAAAATATATTTTTTAAAATATTAAATATATTTTATTTTCTTTTTTCAAATACATTTTTAAAAATTAAATAAAGGAAAAGATAAAAATAATTCAATAAAAAATTGATTTTTATACATATCTAATAAATTTTATAAAATATTAGAATTTAAAATATTTTTAAATTTTTATTATGATATGATTTATCAATAAAATAATATTTTTAATAGAAAGATATTTTTAAAAAATTAATATTAAGTTGAAAATTTCAAAATAATTTTGTTAAAATCACATATCATTTTTAAAAAACAAGTAAAATTTTTTTATCGATTTAAGAAATTAAATAAAAACTATATATCATATTAAAATAATATGTAAACGTTTCCATATCATTTTCAAAAATAGATATATTTATCTATTCAAAAATATAAAAACTTTACATTTATATAAAACAAAAAACAATTTAAAATATTTTTTCTTTTTTTTTATAAAACATATTTTATAAATATATTTAAAAAGGAAAAATAAAAAAATTTAATATTTTAAAAAATAAAATTTTTTGGATAGAAAATAATATGTTTTATTATGACTTATGAGTAAAATAACATTTTTAATAAAATTTTTTGTTTTAAAATGTATTAAATTAAAAAAAAAAGAATTTGCAATTTTTAATTTAATTTTAAGTTTTGAATATTTATTTTCTATTTAAAACAAAAACTATCTAATAAGTTATATTTTACATAAAATATGTAAATATAAATTAATTTAATATTTTTTAAGATATGTATGAAATATATAAAATTTAAGATAATTTCATCTTTAATCCCAAAACTTTGAGAAAATTTTATTTTAATTCTTCATATATCATGTGAGATATTAATTGATATCATCACGTGATATCAGTTGGTATTTATCATCAATTTAAATAATTTTACAAATAAAATAACTAAAATAAAATAACTTTTGATAATTATAGATATGATTAAACATTTTTAAATTTTAAGGACTAAATAAAATTTGAATCAAATTTAAGAACTATTAGTACTATTAACCTTTAAGACGCCATAAATTGTCACAGCCGGTTATACCCATGTTCACATTCAATTTCTCCTCGAGTCTGTCCTTTTAGCCCAAGCTTAATCTTCCTTCTCACTTTGATTTAAACGCCATCAGACCCTTTTATTATCCGTTGATCCTCCATTTGGCTTTGATTTTATCTAATGAATTTTAGTTTTTTCCTGTGTCTTCTCAGGTAGAGGTTGAAAAAAAGAAAAGAAAAAAAAAGAAACGTGTTATTGAAGTGAAGCAAGTTACAACATGCTTGATTCTGAGGTAAGCTTTGATTCCCTGAAGTCATTTTAGAAACATGTTGCACGGATTTTGGACTCGTCCAAAGTAATTAGCTGTCCCGCAGACCCCACCTGGACCATCTGTTATCTTGAGCTTCAACTTGATTTCAAAACACAATCATGTCTACAGATCTTTCTGTGCCTATCTATTTGCAGCAGTATTCTAGCATACAGCTTTCATGCACTATATGATTGTTAGGTGGCACAGCCTCATGTGATAAATCAGGCTAGTTATCTAGCTGCTTGGATTCGTAATTAAATTTATGTTGGAATCATCATTAAGAGGAGAATAATTCTACATTTAACTCACCCCAAAAGGAAGGCAAGAACGGTAGCCTCATCATTCTGCATAAAATCTCTCCTACAAGTTTACAACATTCTTTAATTTCAAAATTTTCACAAGATTTTAGGGTCATCTTATTGATGATGGGATTGTAGAACGAAAGAATTTGGGGTCTCTTCGAATGATAAAATAATGTGTTACAAGCTGATTGTACTGAAGAGTTATAGCTAGGAGAAATTGACAAAGTAGGTTTTCAATTAAAGCAAATTCTTGGGGTCATTTTGTTCACTATGTTTAGAAAAAGGAATAAGGAACTTCTGGTCCCCTAGGCCATGGGTCCAAGATGAGATGGATCTTGCCCTTATAAACATTGCCCATTTCTCTAGAGTTGTCCAACCATTTGCCTGTAACATGACTCAAAAGTTTAGGCGGCCTGTTTTCAGCCAATGAAAAGGCCGAAAAAGGGCATCAAATGAGAAAGTTCTGCACATGCCAACCAGCAGGATAGGGAGACATGGACAAATTGTGCTTGGGAGAACTGCCAAGTCCTGATAACATTGGTTTTCTGTGTCTATCTACTTCTTTTCGTATTCCATGTTGGATTTCTACTTCTCAACAAAAGAGGCACAACCAAGAGTAGCTTTATGACCTTGTTTTTTCCTTGCTATAACGTCAAGCCTAGAAGGGGACCAAAACCTCATACATGCTACATGTCGCTGCTTTAGATTTTCAGTCACTGTAGCTTCTAACAAGACATCAGCCTTGTCATCAGTGTTTGTCTCCAAATAAGACATAGATGATGGGTGTCCAGGATGAGGATATAGGCTTTTGCAATAAGGTTTTCAATATAAAATTGACGGACTCGGATTATTTATGATGAATAACAAGGCAGAAATTTACTTCTGATGGAAGTGCTCCATTTCTAAATCTGGGCGATGTCTCTATGCTACCATATGAGAGGGCTATACTACTAGCTGCAACTCAAGTACCAATGTAATGAAGCTACAGGAGAAAAATCAACAAATAAACATTACATCAGGTATTATGTGCAACGATGACATTAACGGTTTCTGCTGCTATCAATCCTCGATTCATGAAAATGATTGGCTTAGGAAAACGTATCAACAAGCAATAGAAATCGAGGGTCTGCCCTTGTGGCCAATTTAAAGTGGTAATTTCATTGCCAAGATACGGAATTCTTCTCAGGAATTACTTGCGCGAGAATATAAATGAACATCCAGGGTACCGAGGCCCTGTTACATGCTATGTATGGGGATTGTTTAGCCTCGGGTCATTGTAAGAATCTCCTGAACAATGAATAATGCATGTATGACATCTCTCACTTCAGACGTTGTACAACATTAAATATTCATTGTATTAAGGCAGGGTCTATATCAGTTTGACCTTCTTTATAATGACATAAAAGTCTAGACAGCAAGACATAGAGTTATGGGAGCCTTGCAATAGTAGATAACTAGATATTAACAGGAGTTTGGTATCAAGTGTGAATAGAACTTTCACTCTAGTTTTAGATGTCGGTTGCTGGTTGTCAGCTGCTTTTTCTAGCAAGTGAACAGACCACGAAGTTCCGTAATTCGAGTTGATAAGAGGAACCAAGACATTTTCCCTTCCATTACGTACTTGTCTTGCATTCATCACTGTCGCCATGAAAATCACATGCCGTTGAGCTAATGCTAGCATTTTCATGCTCGAAGTTGGATAAGGCCCCTTGCAATTTGTGATAGTTAACGACCATAAAGGAATATAAGCTTAATAACCTGGCTTCTTATAGATCATATAATTGCCAACGCTTCCTGGAATAAGTAAGCTGCAATACTTATAGGAAAAATTGAGTTGCCAAGCTCCAACTGAAGTTTAGTATCTGTTCCTAGATTGACTTGGAGGAAAACAGAACAAATGGACGCCGTACATCTCTATTGTGACTTTAATTTACCTCATTAAGGCCTGATGTATGACATTAGAATCAAGGTACTATGCAGAAGGAAATTCAGGTGGGTAAGCTTTTCCCTCAAATATTTCATATTCTGAAGAATTTGCCTCCAACAATTGAAATAGAAAGTTCTTGTGGAGTTTCACATTCAGACAACCAATCACAATTTGCATGTCCTTATGTCTGGTTACATGTAGCTGGCATTGTGTTATGTGTTGTGGTGAATTGCAGATTGCTCCTACAGGATCTTTGTATTTCATTGCGTAGGATGGTGCATAAAGATGCTATAATCAGGTTGTTCTGTTCTTTACAAATGAACGGAAGTTATTTTTTGTCATATGGAAATTCAACATGGTTTGCCAAAGTAGATGCAGTTTTAAACATCTATCAATTTGATTCAATCCAATTAGTTAGCAGTTTTCAGTTCCTACAACTCCCTTGTGCAGATGGAGTATTTGGGTATCCAGCTGCAAAGCCAGGGCATTGTTTGGCACATTGTTTACACCAAGCCGTACTGGTTTAGCACAAGCAAAGATAGTTCCTAGTACGTATGAATGATCTCGAAGAACTCGTAGACTTTATTTTAAGCAATAACAACAAGAACTTAAGTTTGCAAAACTTAATATATCAAAATCTGTCTCATACACACTGCAATTTACAACTCATCATGATTTTACACATTTCTTGCGGCAGAAAGTTGCCAGAAACCTTCAACAATTTCTCTCTGCTCAAATGGTCACCGGAAACATAAAAACTGAGATGTTCCTCACGTCTGATGTCTGAGTGCTGAAGATTAAAAGAAATAGCTAGAATCTGCTGAAGGTTGAAACTAAGGCTGATCACAATGGCCCATGCATGAAGCTTTACACTCATGTAGCTTCTGCAGTGGGAATTTTTAAGACGGTTTCTATATCTTTGCTGTCAGCATTTGCAAATTTCAAGAAAGTTTCAATATCTTTACCATAATCTGGGCTTCCATGTCTAATATTGAACCACTTCTTATGAGGTTTTGGTTTTCTGTCGCTAATGGCAATGGTAATGTCATTAAGGAAGAGGTCCCGTAGGACAAAGGCATGCAATATAGTCGTTACAAGCAGAGCTGTTACTGTGAGTGTAGCAACAACAGAGAGTATGACAGAAAGAGTTTGTGTTACCATATTTGTCACTACACTTGAATATCTCATGGTTGCAATGGCAGCACCAGTCATTGGGAACGTATATGCCCACCAAGCCAATGAGAACCTGTAAATAGAAGAAATTAGAATCAGGCTACCTAATAGAGCTGGACTATAAGTAAATAGGGATACTGCTTCACATACTTGAATCCTCGGAAAAAGTTAACCCGAACTGCCTGCAAAACATAGTCTTAACTGTTTAGGTTTACCAAGCATGCAACTTGTAAGTCAAGTTAAATCAACAGAAAATAATGCTAAGGTGCAAACGAGGAAATTCTTCGTATAGGACTGTCTTAAAAATAAGATGGGCTAAGGAGTAATGCTGTTATGTATTTAAGATGCAAAGCGGCTAACCAGTGAGAAGTAAAGGAACAAGGCAATGAAGTAAGCAATCCGTGATCCATAATCGAAGGAGCCTTGGATGGTTGCCCATGCCATTGAAGCAACACTTGGTGCTGCAACAAACAGAAAGAATACAGGATGGAGCTCTTTTGGGAGAGTTTCATTTGTTGGAAGCCTTTGGTAAAGAGTTACAAAAAGGACTGTATAATGAGCCAGCCCAACAGCAAAGAAGAAGATAGGCCCTTCCTTAAGCCCCATTGATGCACCCAACAGTGCCCCCACAAAATTCCCAACGATTGAGAGATGGTTTGAAGGATTAGCCACCTTCGAAAGCCTCCGTTGACCACCTGACATCCACTGTCCATAGATTTTAAGCTCCAGACAGAAGATTGGCGTCATAAGCACATACCATAGAGCTACTGGCAGGTTTGAGGCAACTGATGGTGGCACTCCAAGAGCTAAGAACAGAAGCGATATCCAAGGGGCAAAGAAGAAGTTGACACGGATTGGATGGTAATACTCACGACGAACTGCTTCAAAGTAGAGAATCACTTTCAGAAGGTAGATGGAAGAAACAATGGCCACTAGAGCCACAGATATCCACCATAGAATGAGATTTATCATCAGGTTTATGTGAAGAAATTTTGTAGAGGTCGCAGTGGCCAGGGTTTTCCACATAATGGCTTCGCTGCTAACTCCCAGACAGATACAAAAAGAAGAGACAGGATAATGAAGGAGGAAAGGCCAAGGCTTGTCATCTGGAAGCACAATCTCCTCCGAAGCCTGTCAAAATCAATAATATCAGATTCTTAAAACAGGAAAAGTATTTCGCCCGTGTTCATTTGATTGGTTCAATTAATTGAATGAAATTATTTAAAGTGAAATTAATTTAATTATATTATATTGTTTTTATTAATTAAACCAATTTATAAATTTTGAAAATTAATAAATTTCATTGATTGAATTAATTTTTTAATAAACAATAAATGTATTTAAGTTAAATTATATTTTTAATTTTTAATTTCTCATATTTTAAATAAATTAAATAAAATTACTTAATAAAATATTCAAATATTATATAAAAATTTCTAAAATTTATAAAATAAAATTATTCATATAATGTATTTTTGTTTTATATATAAATTTGGTTATATTTTAATTAAAATTTTTGTTAATTAGATTTTTGAATAAAATTAATCAAAAATTATAATAAAAAATTAAAATTTTTTAAAATCATTTTTATTAACCGATCAAAATTAATTCATTAACTGATCAATCAATTAAATTAAATAAATTCAACAAATTAATTTGGTTTAGAAAAAAAAAAAAGTTTGTCTTTACAAAAAATTTTAAAAAATTATAATATTAATTTCAATATTTGTAAATATTAATTTTTTTACTAAATTAGTATTAGTAAAAATGTAAAATATAAAAAGTTAGCATATTAATTTTAATGTTTTAATATTCTATTAATTGATAGTAAAAATAATAATAATAATAAGTATGAATCAATTTTTTAACTTTTCATATACAAACAATTTTTTTATCATATTTTCTACCTTTGAATTTAATTAAACTACTAAGAAAAGGAAAATCAATAACATACTGTCATATTAATTTTAATCTTTTCATATTTAATTTGCTTTTAAAATTTTTATATTCTAATAACCATTAAATTTAAATAAAATGATTGCAATACGAAAAGTCAACAAATATAATTAATTTCAACAGTAATTAATGATTCGATCATGAAGTTTTGAAAATAAAAAAGAATATAATTAAATTTTATTTGAAAAACTTTTCATATTTTACAACCAAATAATTTAATTAAAATGTTAAGGAGACGAAAAGTAAAAAAAATTATTCTATTAATTTTAATTTTTGTCTTATCCCATTCTAATAACCATTATAATTTATTTTTAAGTAAAATGTAGAGATACAAAAAATTAAAAAAATTTATTATATTAATTTCAAGTTTTTTTTTATATATTACATTATGTAATGATTTGGAAATAAATCTTGAAAAAGAAAACAAAATAAATCAACTTCATTTATACGACACTAACGAAAAGGGAAAATTTTGGAAGGTCAACAAACATCGGTTTTCTTTTTCTATTTTTCTTTTCTCGAATTTGGAGACCGGTGCGTGTGTGTGATGTGGAGTCCGATGGGTTAGGAAATCTGAGGCCAAAGATCATTCCAACTCAAAGCATTTGTTTTTGCCACATCATTCCATTGTCAGCGGCGATCAGCACTTCCTCATAGGACAAGGGATTAGCATTTGGTCGGCCATGCTTGCATACCAGTTAGAACAAATTTGTTTGAATGATTGAGAAAATTCGTATTGTCTGGATTAATTAATGTTAGAGTTGAACTTAAAAAATTTTGGAGTAATGGTTTAACTATTACCCCTTCTTTCAAAAATGAAGAACATATTTAATAGCTTTTTCTTTTGATCTCTCAATAATCAATAACATATAAATAAAAATTAATATAATTAACTTAGATGATTTATATGATCATTTTTTTAAATTAACATTCAATAAATTTGAAATTTAAATTTAAACATTAACTCTTTCTTTTATTCTCCAAGACCTCATTTGTAAATAAAAAAAATACATAACCAAATTAAGGAAGGTGCAACAATTGGAAAGACAAGCTTTATATTGAATTTTCATATATATGAAGTAACAAGGAACGGTGTTTTTACCTCAGATGAACCATGCACTAATTGATTAACTTCAGTTTTTTTTTTCTATTATTGGATATACACTTCGTCTTCCATTCGTCTCTTATACTTAAAAAGTCTTAAACTATGATCCTACTATGACTTTAGAAGATTACAATGTGAAAGACTGACATCGCGGATTAGGAATCCAACTAACTACTACAAGTACTAGTGCCGTGCTCAGTTTGGGTTGCCCACAAAATGGAGAGAGGTCTATCCAAAGAAATTAATTTCGATTTGGAAAGATATCTTTTGAACGAAGTGCAAGTTTCTTTTTAATTGCTCGAAGAAGAGGACACGTTATGTACTTGTGTTCAAGTGGAATGGACAGGTAAGTAGTATATACCATTCAACATGCACGTTCAGGTGAACTTTTTTTTTTAATTTTTAATTAGGTTTGGGCTAGCTAGGTTTCTTTTTCATGCATGCTGATCCCGACCTGCATTATGGACATGCGACGGTGTTTATTAAACCTTTACACAATGCTGGTACGGTTCAATTTGAACCATTGTTTTTCTGTTGATGCCTGATGGGATCATTAATGGGGACTCGTCATTCATCCATCTAGAAACTACAAAGAAAAGAAAAATGAGTAGAGTACTAAAGAGAGACGAGGCTCTCTGTCAAGGTCATCCATAAATCTCATCTCGACTGATTGTGTATTAAAATGTAAATGAATATATAAAAATTTATATCATTTTCAACTTATGAGACAGTTTTTAGGATAAAATCATGAGCTGTAATGGATAGAAACGAATTAGATGGATTGCGACATTGAATATCATAGTCCAAAAGTGGGCTGTCGCTTAAGTATATAGGACGTCGCAGTCTTAAGAAGGAAGCCTTGCATCCCAAATCGTGCTGTACTTGTTCACACCATCTTCTTTGAGGCCCCTTTCTGACACATAACGCTCACTGAACCGAGGCGTCCTATACTTTAAAACTTGTTACGGACCATCATGAATCATGAAAACCATTTGGGTCTAAACCCACCAAATATAATGGGTTAATTAGCTATACAAGCCTAAGACAGATACGAGGGACTTGAGATTTGGGCTTATGCATAGCCTGATTGTAAGTGGACAATCCATCCATATTGGGTTTTAGACTTTGTTCACCAATGGCCTTTGCAATTTAGATTCTCGCAATTCTTTGACAAAATGGAATTTAACAAAAGTTTACAGTGAATTGTCCCAATCCTTAACAATTAACAGGAAATATCTGTGAATGACAGATTAATTTCCGGTGAATTGTTCAAATCCTTATGGCAAATAACATGAATATAAATATATATTGTTAGCCTAAAGGACATACATAAAAAAAAAAAATGCTACTTAAAGTACACAATGAGCCGAAAGAAATGTACTAGCAGGATAAAACTTTCTCTGCAAACAATGAAAGGTTTTATTGCGTTGTATTTGACTTTGAAATTTTACAAACAAACGAAAAAAGAAACGCAGAACAAGAATCAGACATAAATTGGACAAGCCAGTCCAATTTCGACAAGAGTAGCACAAATGAACAACGAAAACCAGGCAAATCTATCCAATCAATCAAACTTTAAGTAAAGCAATGGTGACCCCAATTGCAAAACCAGTGTGGCAGTGTTTGAAAGGGTGCATGGGCCAAGGCAACTTATATTTTCTCCTAAGTACGCTTAATAGGAGCTATCACTAATCACTATCATAGTTCCGGTGACAAGGAATATTGGGTTCATTGCACACATAATGTGCCATTCACTCGACAGATTTTAACTGACTACGTTTGCGTGGACCATTTGACGCAGACCGCATCTTTTGCTAAAAAAAAAATAAAGGTGTCAGGAATGGGGTGGTGTTTACCCATACTTGAGAATTTGAAGAAAAACATTTCATTGATCAAATCAATGTGTTAAATTTATAAATCTCAGAACAAAAGTTGGTATATTAGTAGAATAATAAGAGAAATGAAAACAATAGACCTGATTGATGACAGGTGAGTTTCATGTTTTTATAAAGTGAGAGAGTTGTCACATTATTGGTTGCCTCCTTGCTCTTGGTCTAGTTGGAATTAACCTCTTTCTTATGTCTAAAAACGTTTCATGAAGTAAATCAATGGGTGAAATTTATAAATGTCAGAACAAAAGTTGGTATCTTAAAAGAATAATAAGATAAATGAAAACAAAAGACCTGCTTAATGACAGGTGGGTTTCATGTGCCTTCTACAATTTTTGGGGTTGATAATAAATGAAATTCTTGAAGAGGTCATTGTTGTTATAAAGTGAGAGAGTTGTCACATTATTGGTTGCCTCCTTGTTCTTGATCTACTTGGAATTAACCTCTTTCTTTTGTCTAATGTGTGATGTGTCATATAGCACCACTAGCAACAGGAAAAGCCAGTCGATCGCTCCTGGCAGGGCCAACCTGGTGGAATTTCTTTGGATTTTAGCCTGTCAGGACTCAGGGGTTAGGTTTTATTGACAGCCTGATGGTCGGCTCAGATGTGATTTCTTTTCCCAAATGTAAATACATGCTTGAGATCCCATCTATCAGATGCATGAGTTTTGTAAAATAATGAAATTAAGGAAGCAGGAATAATATAAAAGGAATGGGCTCAATGAACTTCAGATTCTTCTTGAAGTGGGTTAAAGAAAATCACTGAATAGGAAAGTTGCATAAAGTCCATTAATAGGACATATGAAACAACAATTTTTTTTTTTTATCAATTGAAATTCTAAATTCGATATCTCAATACATCCAAACACTTTTGACCTTTGTTGTCCAAAGTTATTAACAAATGAATATTATATATATTTATGTTTTAAGTGGTCATTTTAAAGCATGTCACCATGTTGGATATGATAATTAGGTACCTCTTGGATTTTACCTCGTGTCAAGCTTTGGAAGCTACCACCTCCAAAGCAAAAGCTGTCCCATTAGCATAAGTTCCTTTAACGACTGTAGCCTCTTTAAAAATTCATGAAAATCTCAATATGTTCAACTTTACCATCAACATTAAGGCAAGCTTTTCATTTGAAAGAAAACCCCCCACCCCCCAATCCACCATCTTTTAAGCTTTTGCGAATTGCCTTCTGTTAAATCCATGTCCTTTTCATGATTTTTTTTCTGCTTTTTCTACATAATTTGCAGCAGTAACAGGTCATAATGAACGGTCAGAATCTGATGGCTTCATTAATGGCATACACACAAGCTAGTAGTAATACATTTCTATTGGTTATTGGTGGAGGATCTAATTGATTTATGTCCACATTTTTAAAGATCCAGATATTTTCTGCAAATAGAAAGGATTCATTAGTCAAATAAGACTCATAGGTAATTTTTAAGAAAGCCTTTGAGAAAGATGTAGCTTTTCAAGTTTTTCTTCCCTGCTTTTCTTAACTCTGGTTGGCCTTGCAAAATAAAGTTACTTACCTAATCAGCAAAGGTAGCTGCAAAATATATATATATATATATTATATTTTAAAGAGGATTATTACATGTTTCAAGTTTCAATGCATGTAAGGTTAATGCCTTTCAGATCAAGAATGATATGAAGGTTAAAAGTTTCATAAGGTTCCATTTTTGTATATCCAAAATTCATAAAGAAAATGAACCTAAGTTAAGTTTGATTGGTTCATATAATAATCTTAAAAGGTGACATCCATCATATATGAGATTAAATTCCAACATTTATAATTTTTTTTGTATAATTTGTGACCAAAAGAAATTCAAAAATAAAAGAAAACTGAAGGTTGATGTAATTTTTGTCTTTATATGAAATGGATGTTCATAAAAGGACTGAAGGACTGCTGGAAAATTCAAGAACAGGTTAGCTTCTTGCATCAATTCTTTCATCAGCCTCTCCTCTTAGTTGAAAATTTACAAAGCTACATAAAAGGAAAATATAAGTGATTAAAGAAAAAAAAGGTGAAAATTTCTTCATTTTTTCTAAGTTTAAGGATCAGATAAATCACCTGTCAGGCTGTCACAAACAAAAAATTCGTACACATTTCAATAATGGACTTATTTATAATAGAATATTGTATTTGAATAGAAAATTTCTGCCTTCACCATTGAGATTGGTGTATAGATTGCCTTAATATATGCATTCATCGGATATTTTTCAATATCTCCCCAACCCCACCTCTGATTTAATAATGCATTGCAACAAGCCAGCTTGCAATCTGACAACAACAGAGACCATCGATTAATCATAACAGAAGCCAATGCAGTCGGTTTGGGAATGTCGGCTTGCTTGGCATTTCCCATAAGAGTATTGCCAAAATTCGGCCTAAACATAATAATCCATCATAGTTGCAACTTGCAAATTATTGTTGGAATAGAGTGCTGACTCATTTATAGCCTCAAGGCTTGATCTTGAAACAGTTTTTTTTTTTTTTTTTAGCAATTTGAAACAGTGTATTTAGTTTCCTCTCAAACCAAGCATAGGAAATCGAAACTGTAAAGAATCATATCCCAACTATAAAAAGCTAAACATATATATATATATATTATTTTTTATATTTAGATCGATTTAAATTTTAATTGTTAAAATTCAATTTAGCAATTTTTAAATAAATTACATAATTGTTAATAAAATTCAGTTCATAAAATTGTTGGTTTTAAATCATCTTCTAAGTATGCGTTCATCTCATAGTTAAAAGAAAGAACAAGCAAAATTAATAAATTAAAAATCCCTATGCAAAAAAAAAAAAATCAATTCTGATCATTTCTTGGCGCACTCATGCAATGGATTAATCATGAAAAAGTAGACTGCACGCCCATGCATTATCGAGATAGAGGCAATGAAGCTCTAGAAATGTTGGACTGTCCCTCAAGAAAATGAAGTAAAGGTGGTTTATGGGGTTCGGATTTAAAAAGAATATGCTGAAACTGATGAAGCAGAAATAATAAATGTTAGAGGCAGTAAACCAGCGGTTCTGGTTGGGTTTAGGTTTGGTCATTTCTTAAGGTGAGATCAATTTACGTTCAGATTAATTTTAGTTCGAATTATTTTAATTTTAAATAATTTTGATTATAAATTATTTAAATGTAACATTCAAATTATTTGGGTGTAAATTATTTTGAGTTTAACATTCAAATCATTTAGATTTAATCTGTCAACTTTAAAATCGAATATATTGTATTTTAATGAATTATTTAAATTTATCAATCCTAATTAAATTATTTAAAATTATATTTTTGTGAACTTATATCACCTAACATGCTAATATTAGTGATATCTTCAATTTAGATTTTTATATCATCATAAAAATAATAGTAAAGCAAATAGATTGAAAAGATAATTTAAAGTTATTAAATGTAATAAATTAATAATTTATGTAATATTTATTATTTTTAATTATATCAATATTTTAAAAAATAAAATTATGCTCAATTTAATTTGAGACTATTTCAATTCGAATCATTTTAATTTTAGATTAATTTAAATTCAAATTATTTAATGTTTGGATCAATTGAATTTGATCAATTTAAATTTAGTTTAATTGAAATTCAGATTGAATAAATTTGAATTATTGATTTTTTTATCAAATCAAATAATTAATATTCAAGTTCAAACGAGTTAAACTAATATTTTAAATTCAGATCAATTTTACCGACTCCAATTAAAATGCATCATTGATTCACCCAAATGAAGTTAAAATAAAGATTCAGACACAGCAAATACACCAATTATAAAGATTAGTCATGAAATCAAAAGCTGGAAGCACTAAAAGGTGACAAGGACTTCTTGCTTATTTGCATTTTCCTATTTCGTATTAGTATTTGTTTTTCCCATGGCGGAAGGTATTAGCTTTTTTGATGTGGGGACCGAACTTCGTACTGAAGTAGTGAGAAGTTTAGTGGCATTGGAGTTCAACCCACAGATCGAAATGCAGCAAAGAGATTTTAAACCATAGAATGTGATGGTGAGGTGGAAAAGGCCCATTTGAATCACACTTATTTTCCGAAAAGATTCTCATTACCCCCTCCCCCCTTTTGAGTTTTGATAACTTGATTGATAAGAGCTCTCACCCATTTCACCTCACATCTTCAAGATCCATCCCTTCATTTTGCCAATTTATAAAAGTTAAAAAAAATAAAAAATAAAAAAAAGGCTAAAGGCCAATTTGCCTGTAATTTTCATGGGTCCAAAAGGAAAAAAATATTTTCCCATGAAACAAAATAAAATTCCCAACCGTTGCCCCACTCAGCCAGCGCAGAAAACAGTGGAGATTGAAAAGAAGGAAGGTGAAAAGAAAAAGAATCCAATGAAATAAAGAATGATTTTTCTGCAATGTGTCAGTAAGGCAACTGCTACATTTTCCTACGTTTTGAGCAAAGCACTTGTCAGTTGAAATTTTTGTTTTTCCTTGGTAGGGCATAATGTCCACAATCAACACCATCCTGACCTGGGCTTTACAGGCAGAAATATTAAATCCCATTGCTTTATATGAAAAAAAAAAAAAAACTTGTAATTTAATGTTTGAGACTTCAATTTACATTTTCATTTATATTTGTGAGTTTTTATATAAAAAAAAAATATTTTATATTTTTATATCGACATTAATTATAATATATAATTTATAAACATATGAGTATTGACATTTTATACAATATAAATACATGAATCATTATATCTACCATTAAACATATCTTAGATGGCTCATTAATCATAATTAGTAAATTGGTGGGTCTACATTTTTTGTTCTCACAAGGATATATATTTGTATTCTTAACTATTCCTAAAATCACGGCAATGCTAAGACAACATAATCCACTCGAAAACTACTAGACCTTGCATGTAATTTGTTTATTTGATTTGGTCCCATTTTCAACTATAAATGAATCTTATACTTAAAATTATAGAAAATGGGAAAGTAGATGGTGTTCACGTGTCATTCTTTTTTTCATTTATTTTATTTTAAATTTTTATTAAATTTATTTTCTTTTGTTTTATTACTTTTTTATTTATTTTATTTTTTATTAAATAAATTTTGTTAAAAAACTCTGTGAAGGTAAAAATGATGAAATAATTCATATTCGATTTATTTTGATTCATATCGATCCAACATAAATATTTTTTTAAAATATTGAGATAGATTTCTTTTTTTAAAATAGGATCGGGTTGAAGACAAATTTAAGATATTTTGCCCTATCTTACGCGTCCACACGAGATCTCTTTCATTTTTTTTATTTTTTAAGCTTTTTTTAGTTTTTATTTTTTAAAAATTTTTTTACTTTTATTTTTTAATAGATAAATTTTGTTATAAAACAATCAATTGAGATAGAGATTACAAAATAACTCATATCCAATTACTTTCTACTTGTCCCAATCAGGTACATTTGCTTTTAATTCGAGATAATTAGGTTGAATTTTTTTTTAAATCAAACTTAGGTCAAAGCAAGATTTGGATGTTACACCTTAGTCTTGATACATATAAAAAATATGTTTTTTATTATTTATTTAATTCTATAATTATTGTCATAATACACAAATCCATAAACTTATCATTAGATATAACTTTAGGAGTCATCACTAATATTTTTTATTTAGATATGATTAATCATCTAACTAAATATGTCCATTTTTAAAGAGAAGTCCCAAACTTAACTCAAATTCTTTAAAAAAGTATATTCTAGTATACAAAACCAAAATTGAGTTCAGGAGTACGGTTACGCATAAAAAAGTTTATAACACCCTTACAACATATATCCAAAAGATAATACCTATTAATTTTGTGTAATCCAAAGCCTCAAAAAATTTTATCAAATAATTAATTATTAAAAATTATTCTTAAATTATTTCAATGTTTTGATAATAATTTTAGAATATTATCTCATTTCAAGAGTATTGAAAGAGACTATTTATCATATTTGAAGAGGCTCTATTGTCGAATTCATTTAATATTTAAAAAAAAAATTTCTTACCTAAACTCTCCAATACACTGATAAAATTTAGAAAGAATTTTTTACCTAGAAATTTACATAGAAATTACTATTTGCAACATTCTTAGTAATTCTATCATTAGAAATTCAAAACTGATTTTTATAAAAAAAAAAAAAAAAGATATGATAAAACATCATTATTTAATATTTCATTTAAAGGAATACTTTTCAATATTTTGGAAAGATTTTTCATCTAAAAATATCCTCCAATATGTTGGTAGGATTTAAGAGAACTATTTCTTTTCAAAACATATATTTTTTATTAATAAGATTTTCTAATATGTTGGTAAAATCTTATTTTAAATCTTTAAAATAAAAAATATTTCAATATGTTGGTATTGTTTTTTTTAAAAAATTTTTTTAAAATTTTAAAACTTTTCAATATGTTAATAATGTTTCGTTTTTCTATTTTTTATTTTTTTAAAAAAATTACCAAACCTTCCAATATTGTGGTAAAGTTTTATTTTTTTATTTTCAAAAATTATTTTTCTTAAAAAGAACTTTTTTATTTTTAAATAAATAAATAAAATAAAATAAAAATATACCTAAAATTGTTTGGCTTAAGAAATGGCTCAATTCATGACTAATGTAGCGACTCGATTTGGCTTAGTGGCCCAACTCAGCAATGTCTCAACAGGTGACAAGTATCGGGTTAGATACTTTGAGTCAAGTCAAATCAAGTTGACATTTAGGAAAATTAGGGAATCGTTGTTAGAATCTAAAAGTATCATTGGAATCCATGTCGAAGACTTCAATGCTCATTAAAAAATGTCACTACAATCTGAAAATCTTACCAGAGCCTAAGAATCTCACAAGAAAATTGTAGAGAATTAAAAAAGACTAAAATTTGGATTTGAACTATCTAAAACATTTTACACTTAAATTCTCTTTTGTACTTGTTGGGTATCTGTTACTATTGATTGCTGGACTATTTATAGAGACATAACTCTGACTTGATAAGTATTTTAAATTGAATAGGAATTAAACTCTTGAAAATTATATATTATCACCAAAAAATAATAATCTCTAAAAAAATTAGAATTTATCTCCAAGAATCCTTCCTTAATTTTAACTCTAAAACATAAATTATCACATAAAGATAAAATCCCCTTTATTTCCCAACCTATTTCACCATTTATGATTTTCAAAATTTTTCATTTTTTTAAAATTTAACTTTTTAACATAAAAAATATAAATCAATAAAGATAAATAGTAAAGATAAACAAATAAAAAGAAATGAAATAAGAGTAAAAAGATAAATAAAAGTAAAAATAAAAAGATAAAGAAAATAAAAAGTAAACAAAGATAAATATAACTTA